AATGGAAACTCGTATTATAATTTAAGTTTGTAAAGTTACGACAGCCCATTTTTTACTCGGCAAGGGATTTGAAGTCGATAAGTCCTGCCTGTATTTTTACGATTACAAATTGTAATTTTACAACTTGCGTCAAGGAAAATTTTCCTGTAAACCTACCTACTTTTTTGCACAGTGCACCGGCGCGGGACGGCACCAGCCGTCTTCCAGTTTGAATCCGACTGTAGGTTAGACTAGAAAGTAAATAGTGCCCTGCATGAGGAATGGTGCAGCCTTTACCCTAAAGGTGGAGGGGGGGGGGGGGGGGCACATGCGCCCTAGGGGTTGTGCACCCCCGGGCGGGCCCGGGGGGTACATCAGTTCCAGGTTGGGTATATCACCGGGGCTCGAGGTTAGGGGTACTGTACATATGCTAGGGATCGTGTACCCCAGGAGCACACTATACAGGGTGGTCCACAGGCCCCTTCCTTTATTTTGCTTATACTGTACCGCATGCAGGCGTGCGGGCGGGCTTGCCTACTGTCATGCATCCGGTACAGTATAAGTAAATTAAAGGAAGGGGTCTGTGGACCACCCTGTATGGTCTTTTTATTAATTCTGGTAAGGCGTATCCATCCGGAGGGGTAGAGGTTAGGCAAATAGTTAACAGTTTATGATTACGCTTTTATTCCTTTTCACGCAGAAAGACCGTTCCTAACCAGAACAGTATTCTTTGAAGGTCGTCCCGAACTGAACTCTCCCGACAAGATCGAGCAAGAGCAGGTCTATATGTAGGCTCCGGTCAAGGGACCGTTTAATTTATCGAGCGAAAGGCTTGCGAATTGGGTACCCAATAAAATGTTGCAGTTGCCCCGCGCTGGCCCCACTCTCTGGACTCCAGCCAAGCAGCTACTCAAGGCGCTGGCGAGCCGATTCAGGGCTCTCGGCAGCGCCGAAAACGCGTCGCCGCGCTCGATTCAACTCGTGGCGACGGCCAAACGGTTAGTGATATCGACACCAAAATTGATATAAGGGCCATACAGGCGGCTGTACATACCGCGTATTTATTACATATCATAACTAACCTTAGATCGTAACCAGTTGTAGTCAACCCTTCGGGTTTTGTCGTCGTATTTTCGCCGTTTGTTTGGTTCGTCCTACATGTGCCCGTATCTATGCAATTACGCTGCTTTGCGTCACTCGCCAGGCACTATCTGCAAATGACGGTTACCAAACACTTTGAAGAGTATGTTCGTACATATTGTGTTAATATAGTGAATTATTTGGAAATTTCCAACAAAACTGTGTAAAGTAAAGCTCCCCACTGTTGCTTGTCATTCGATTTCAGGTCGATGCGGAGTACTTGTGCAAGTGTATTTACAATCTTAAATTGTAATTGCACGATTTATTCCATGGAAATTTTCTTCACCCCCTCCTCACCTTTCCCAAGGCCTGGATCCGTACGTACGCCCGCCGAGTCGAGGATAGGCAAACCCGCAACACGGCGGCGCGAGCTCTGAATCACCCGGTACAGTAACAGTCGGGTGTCGGGCTCATGCGGAGTAATGTCACAGTAATTGGCGTAACGAACGCAGCCCACAATGCCCCTCTTTAAATAACAACGTCCTTTTTCTTGGTCTTCCTGTACCGAGCCTTCATATAGGGCTCCCTTAGTCGCGTATGGAACCTCGAAGGATTCTGTTCTGGAGTAGTAGTGAGTAATAATAAAAGTGTCATGATATGCCATGTGCGTTGACTCGACCCCAACCTCCGGATAAGACGCCTTTAGTATACTGAAAGCAGGACCACACCCCCGGTTCCCCCTCCCCGCCTCCATGTCCGTTTGTGTCCTGTTCACCTTCATGTCTCTCTGTTGACCGGACGGTCCTTTACGGATGGCCCCTCACGCTACACGTGCTCTCGGCCGAACCGCGCCGGCCGCGGACGCAGTAGTATAAGAAAAGGGGCGCTACAGCAACATTTTCGCTCCGCGCCTCAGAGGCGGAGCTTAGGCAAGGCCGCAATGCACCGGCAACCGACGCGAGGTCATCACGATCCGGTAGCAAAGCTCACAAGGATTACACGTGTCCGATTAGAATCGAGGTTAGTAAGAGTTTATGCAATGCAGCGCCTTAACAGACTGCACGACTCGGTGCAAATGCACCAGCGCAACAACACTATGATGAGGAAAACTAAAAAAAACGGGGGTAAGGTGATGCAGCGCCGGTGCATTGCGGCCTTGCCTAAGCTCCGCCTCTGAGGCGCGGAGCGAAAATGTTGCTGTAGCGCCCCTT